TTTTTTTTTGGCAGAACTGGGGATTGAACTCTGGTCCTTGTGCTTGCCAGGCAAGTGCTTACTCTACTGAGCTATCTCCCCAGCCCTGTTATCTACCATTTTGCCCCAGCCCATTTTTTCTTTTTATGTTGGGACTGGTTTCTCTAATTGGCCAAAGCTAGGCTGTGGCGTGTGACCCCTCCCTTCATCTCCAGGAGCACGTGGATTCCACGCATGCACGTGGATCCACCCTGGTGTAACTTTGATGAGATGGAAAAACCACTGGACAGGGTGGCATGTCTTACTGAATGGGTTATGAGTTTACATGGGCTCAGAATGAAAGCAGCTTCTTTGTGCTTGTGGACCTTTGTACTTAGTTCCCTACAGCAGTGTTGTAAGGTCCAGAAATTCAGCCTTCATTCTAAAACCTGCTTCATGTTGATTTTTCTTGGACTGACTTATCAAGCCTGGTTCTCAATAACAGCTGGCTCTTTAAACAGTCTCCCTCTCAAAAAGCAGTCTTTCCACTAACTACGGTTTTTGTGGGCATGTCCCCCCCAAAGAGAGAATGTTAAATGCTATGAGCAGAGCAGTGTCATTAAACAGATGTGGATTGTCATGTATCTATGAGTTGTTGTGGCTCTCCTCCTGTCGTCTCCCAGAGTGCATTAGCTCTCAGCGCGCTCCATCTGGTGGAGCTGAGGTTGGGGTAGAATGCTTTTTCTGCAGGCGCAGGGGCCGGGGGTTCCTGTCCCCCAGGGCGCACTAGGACGGCAGTTGAGACTGGGCATGGTGACGCACGCCTGTAATCCCAGCACTTGGGGGCTGTAAACAGGCAGATCACTATGGGTCCATTCTAGTAGTGAGACCCTGAACACCCCGTAGACCCTGCCCTAAAAAAATACCAAAAAAAAAAAAAAAAAAAAAAAAAAAAAAGAGAATGCTTTGTTTTACAAACCAGAGGAAAGTATAAATTACACATGTATTTTTAATGCTAGTTAGCAAAGATTTTTCTTTGCTGTTAGAAGTAAAGAAAAAATGCCCAAAGTTTCTTAACTCTCTCTGATACAGGCTGATTAAGCAGTGGTAAAAAATTCAGAAAGCTTTATCTTTACCTGCTTGTCTTGAAATTCTGATCAACCTGAGAATGAGGGTCAGTGGCGTCCGCGTGCACAGTGGCTCTCGCTGTGGCCCTCACACAGCTCTGTTTCAGCTGTGGCCACTATCCCATGTTTGCTGAATCAGAGTTACTAGAGAAAACCTAGAAATTTGCATTTCTAACATGTTTTTGGTGATGTAGCTGTTGACAGCTAAGAACTCTAGCTAAAAGGAGGTGGGATTAAGTGAGGCAGGAACATCTTACGTTGTCTCTTTATACTTACAATGTAGCCATTCAGAGTTTTTAGTTTGGACCAGGTAGATGACCTAATTTTTTTTTTTTTTTTTCCATTTTAGAACCTGATGATGTTGTTAAACGACAAGAGGCCTTAGCAGCTGCTCGTTTAAAAATGCAAGAAGAACTAAATGCACAAATTGAAAAACATAAAGAAAAGCTAAGACAGGTATGTGCAGTATAGTTGTGAGATCAAGAAAAAGATGCCATTCTTAGGGAAGGATGGCTGTGTGCATATAGTATCCCAGTGAAAGATCCAGAGCGTGGGAGAAGGGCCAGAGCGGGCAAGATCAAGCCCGTGCGTGTGGGTCAGTGCTTCTGTGTGCTGTGGTGTAATGAGGACCCACTGCCGGCAGCAAGAGCTCCGCCCCTGGGCTCCATCCCAGTCCTACTTAAGTCTCTGACAGCAGTGTCACCCAGCAAGATGTTGTGTCCGGCTCTCCCGTCACCAGACGCACAGTAGACAGGTTAGCTTTCTCGTGGCCCTGGGGGTCCACTCCTCAGTGGCTTGAGGGAGCGCCACGGGAAGACAGCAGGATCTTGCCCGCTGCCTCTGGTATTTCCAGGGACACGTGCCTTGTGGGACTCCTCCTTCTGCGTAGTCATCCTTCCGGCTGCTTGCCCAGCTTGGCTGGGGCCCAGAAGGAAGGGACATCCCCACACTCTTCCCTCCTTGGTTACCTGTCCCAGCAGCCTGCAGTACCCGTGTCAGTTGGCTGCCCAGCTTGTTGAGCCACCAAACCTGATTGACAATATTCGTAATTAAAATTGGGATGTAAAACTCTGCCATGGAAACAAATTTGCTTCCTTCCTTGTGCTTTCACTTTCTAAGCATCTCAAGCAGTGTTAAGATTTTTAGGTATTTTTTCCAAAGTACATTACCTAAGTTCAATCCCCGGTTCTGCCAAAAAAAAAAGTTTATTACCTGTATATGCCCACAAATGCGCTTCCCTTTCTGCAGAAAAAAAGGCATGTGCCATTTTTCATTTTGGACAATTCTATTTTAATTTTTTTGGGGGGGGCAGGGTGTCTCATTGATTTTTAAATGCTGGGATCAAATCCAGGGCCTGCCAAAGCTCAGCAAGCATTCAGTCAATGAGCTGCACTGCAGCCCACCCATTAAGTTATTCAGACATCAGAGCCTGAGGATTTTGTGTGTTCGTCTGTGTTAGTGACACAGCTGGATTATTTGGTTTGTTGCTGTAGCTGAAAAGTCTTTTAGAATGGAACTTCAAAGCCAGGCATGGTGGCACACACTGTGATCTCACACTCTGGGAGGCTGAGGCATGAGGATTCCCAGACCTAGTCCAGCCTGGGCAGCGTAGTGATTTAGTGAGACCCTGTCTCCCGACAAGATGTAAAGGACTGAGGATGCAGCTCAGTGTAAAGGCCACGGGTTAAATCCTCAGCACCACAACAGAAAAGGAACTTGAGAATTGTAGTGCAGGCACAGGGTCCGGTGCCACATGCCTCTCATCCTTCCACTCGGGGTGGCTGAGACAACACGATTATAGATAAAAGCCCAGCCTGGCAGCCTATGAAAAAGGCTTGGAGACATAGCTCAGTGTGAATGTTCTGGTCTCAAGCCCCAGGACTTCAAAAAAACAAAATTACAGTGCAAGGCTCCTAAAATCGAGAGAGGGACTGTTACAAGTTTTGGTTTTTTTAAGGCAGGATCTTTCGGTGTGGTCCAGGCTGGCCTTGAAGTCCTGGCAGCCAGTCCTCCTGCGTCAGCCTCCTGCGTGCTGGGGTTAGACACGTGCCACCGCACCCAGCTATAAGTATTTCAGTCATATAACATACACCACACGGTTCTGTTGGAGGCTGCCTGGCTCCTCGTTAAGTCAGCTCTGGCCTGCGATGCCAGTCACTGTCTGCTGGAGCTCCAGTCAGATGTCCTCAGCTAAGGAGAGGTGTAAAACGTCCTTCACGTCGGTTTCTGCTCACCTCCTGTACTTGCAGACGCTGAAAAGTGACGGGCACTTGGGCCTAGCAATGATGGGCCCAAACGCCAGGGAGAAACTTCGGGGACCAGCTGCTTATGGCGTCTTGTTGCCTGTCCTGGCGATACACAGTTGAACTGGAGCCAGGCTGAGCTGCAGTTTGGTTCTGGGCTCCAGTGGAGATGAGAGGTTTACATGCACCTGAGAGAGGTGTCAGTTGGCTGTTGGAAGAAAAGCTTTTTTCAGGTCAGGTGTGCTGTTTCCTTCCTGCATTGGGAAGGTCTGTCCTGGCTGAGAGGTTTCCTAAGTGCTCACTGTTTCATGTGACTTGCCAAGACTCTGAAATCGCCTTCTTCTACTCCTCACATCCTGAGGTATAGAGGCAAAGTGACTTCTGGAGGCGAAGGTGACACGTGGGTCGTGACCAAGCCAGGCCAGCCTGGTAGCCACATGCACTCATTCTGAGCATGCTTAGCACTCCCCGGGCTGAGAACGCAGCTCAGTGGGAGAGCGCTTGTCCAGCGGGTGCGAGGCCCTGCTGGCTGAGGCCCCAGCCCTGCGCACACACCGGGGTTCTGCGTTACCGAGCCTCGGGGGTAAGGGCACGGTTCAGAGGAGCGGCAGTAGTGCTCTTCTTTCCCTGACACTTTCTGCTGTTTTAATTACGTCCAGGACAGAAAGGAAGACAGTGTGGGCCAAAGTTTGTGAAAACAAATTTAGACCTTGCGGAATTAGCATTTTCTCTGAGAGAGGTTGCAGTTAATGGGTTCTTTCTGTATAACGTGTGGTTTTCAGCTTGAAGAGGAGAAAAGAAGACAGAAGATTGAGATGTGGGACAGCATGCAGGAGGGCAAAAGTTACAAGAGAAATGCAAGGAGGCCTCAGGTAACTCACTTGACTAACGGCTGGAGTTGTCTAGGGAGTGCCCCTTTGTCGGTGGGATGTTTTTCTTCCTTTCTTGGTGCTGGGCCCTGTGGGTGGACAAACACTCCAGCACTGGACTGTTCCTGCAGCCCTAAGTAAAGCATCTTGATGGTTTCTGAACTCATCTATGCCAGAGTGAAATGTTTTGAATTTTTGTATGAAATGTAAATGCATATTACTAGAAAAGGAAAAAGAATTTAAGAACATTTTATTATGTTCCATTGTTATGGGTGTTCCAGAAATGGTTCGCAGGGCATTGAAGGGTTTCATCCTATTTTCAAAATAGGAGGAGGACAGTCCGGGGCCTTCCACCTCAGCCGCCGTCCCGAAGCGGAAACCTGACAAGAAGCCTTTGCGGGGAAACGGTAAGCACCAGGCGACGGCAGACTAGAGTTTCCAGATAAGCAAGGTACTCTTTATTTCAGTATAAGCTGAGGCGGAATCGGAAGCCCTCAGAGGCCTCCTGGAGCGGCGGGATTGGCTGTGCTCGAGTTGTAGCTCTCTCCCCGGGTCCCTGCGTGGGCTGCAAGCGGGGGGCTCGGCAGGCAGGCCGGCAGCCCTGCCCAGCAGGCCGATGAGAGGCAGGGGCTGGAGCATGGGGGGCCGGGGCTCGAGAGGAGCTCTCCAGGGGTGCGCCCTGGGGACAGCGCAGCATCTGTCTCTGGCCTATCCTTGAGTTTCAGGCCTGCTTGAGAAGATAGTACTGACAGGTGAGAAATGTTTAAGGTCTGACCAGGGGCCCAGGTGAACGCTAAGGAGAGCGCAGACACCGGAACACTGCTTGCTGAGGGCTTCATGTCCTCCTTGGAGGTTGGGTGTGGTGGCAGCCCAGGTGACATCTTAATTTTTACTTTTATTTTTTGTTTAGCAGTAAACAAAAATCTTGGGGCTTGAACCAAGACCTTCTTACTGAGCCCTTTATTTTTTTTATTTTAGGACAGAGTCTCAAGTCGCTCAGAATGGGCTCAAACTTGTGATTTCTCTCTCAGTTCCCAGAGTTCAGCTGTCACAGGTGATGACCACCACACCTGGCTTCTGAATGACATCTTGGAGGACCAAGGGCAGGCTAGGAAGTGGGGCAGCGAGGTCACAAACGGGGCTTGGGACTGAGGTTAATCCAGGAGCCCAAACCTGGCTGGCTGGGAGGTGGCACACCTGCAGAGAAGTTGCCGTGTGAGGACTTTCCATTGCTGGAAGCCTGTTTTCAGGACACATAGTGGTAACCTTTACGAGAGGAGTGGAAATCGCAGAAAGCACACGGCCTGCTCGTCAGCGTCTCACGCTCAGCAGACCCGGACTCCAGGGCCTCTGACCAGCCTGCTCTAGAGATACGTTACCCATAGATTCCACCACAAGTAGGAGGAAGCAGCTCAGCAGTTCTGGCTGGCTGGGGGTCCTGAGCCTCCCCCCAACTTGGGGATGCTAGTAGGGTAGGAAAAGGAGGAGAGAGGAACGACTGAGGTGACCCTGAGCTGCCTGGAAGAAGTGGCAGCTTATGCTGCGATTGTTAAAACTGTTCTCTAACCTGAACAGCCCTTACTCGAGTATGTATTTCTTTTTGTCATGAGCTCCTGTTGGAATTTTATGTACTTAAATCAGGGCATCCTAAGAGGGTTTTGCTTGCTTGCTCGCTCGCCGTTTGAGACAGGACCTCACTGCAGTCCAGGCTGGACTTGCTCTCTACAAGCCTGTGAACGTGGTGCCCTTGCTCCCCGTCTTTGGTGGTGCGATTCAGGCCTGCAGCTCACGCGCCCTGGAGAGGATTTCGGGGCTGCTTTTGGTATATATTTGGTGTGGTAGCAGTAGGAAATCAAATGGCTCCCTTCTTCCCTTTGAGAAAGTCAGTTCAGGTACCATGGAAGTAGTTCTTACACTGTCTTGGAAGGATGAAAAAGGTTTTTGAAAGCATCCATGAAAACAGACTGCCTGTCTTTGCTTTGCACAGTCAGCTCCTGCTTATAGTTTTGCTTCCTTCCTGTTGCCCAGGTTATAACCCTCTGACCGGTGAAGGAGGCGGAGCCTGCTCCTGGAGACCAGGCCGCAGAGGCCCATCAGCGTCGGGCGGATGAAGTTAAGGATCTGCCTGCCTGCGTCGCTTGCCACGCTGGCAGGGTGGACCTGAACCTCAACTCAATTGCCTTACGCAAGCTTTTCACAGTTACTAGCGAGGGGAGGCGGCTTCTTTTCCTAGCTGTACTTGTGTTTGTATGGCCCGGTGAGCATGGGACTTAAACATTGCCATTTGTAACAGTGCACAAGAGCTAGTGCGCACAGTCCTTGGTCTCATGGTGAGTTTCTAGTTGGTAGGAGGCCTCTCTCACTTTAGAATTCCTTGCCAAAGGACAGTCTGTGACAAGTTGTGTTGAATGATGTCTTCCTTATAAATGGTGAGCCCACCAGTGAGGATTACTGATGCAGACAGTTGATGGGGTTTGTTTCTGTATATTTTTATGTACAGAACTTTGTAAAATGAAATTGTAAATATTAAAAAAAGTGAAAAACATTGTTGGCATCTTTATTAAATTAAAGGAAATTTCTTTATGAGCTTGACTTGGCAATTGGATGTTAAAGGTTGATAATTAGTAAGGTGATAATTTTTATCACACCTAACCTGGAACTGTTACTACTTGTGTCGCTATGTTTTCTCACTGGAAATGACTGTGGCAAGAGGTAGACACCTGCGGTGGACTCCAAAGCTAGCAGATTGCTTGGGGCTTATATACAAAACCAGGTACTTAGAGTTTAGTTACTGTATTAATAGGCTGAAGAAACATCTCACAGCCAGGTGTATATATAGCTCAGTGGCAGTGCCTGCCTGGCAAGCTCAAGGTCTGGAGTTTAATTCTTGGTACTAAAAAATAAAGATCTCCCCTCAAGGTAACTCCTGGGCTGCAGGTTTCTAAGCCCCCGGGGGTCATTCCCCTGCTGCTGTGACTCCTGGATTACATTCTTGCCTGGTTACACTTTGCATTTGGATGTCCCCCTAAGGTGCCCGGGAGGCCTTTGGAAGGTAAATAGATTATGGTGATCTCCACCTTGGCCTGACTAATGGGACAGTTACCATGCGGAAGGGGTGACAGGTCATGGCAGTAAGCATGTCGGGTGGACCGAGGTTGCCAGAGAAAGCAGGTGGTGACTAGGAGGAACCGGAAGCAGAAGCACAGAGGCCAGAAAGTGCCGGAGGAGAAGGGACTGCTGGAGCCGAGCCTAGAAGCTTGTGCATGACCCCCGGAATCAGGATCTTTGGCATGGAACCACTGCCGTGAGTGTGCACCAACTCCACCATCCTGTACACAGGTGGGCACTGTGGGGGCTGGAGGACCCCAGTCGAAGGAGTCGGTCTTGTGCAAGACACCAACCTCAGCCAAGGCGGGGAGGGGGAAGCAAGCTTGCGATTGGCTGGGATGGGCTGAAGTCTAGGAAACCAACTCTTGCTTCTTATGTGAGACTTGGCCCGCTGGGTGTGGTCAGTTTGTCCTAGAAGCTGTGAGGTTTTGTGTTGCGATGCCAGCATTTTGCACAGAACCACACAGCCTTGTGTCCAAAGGTGTACAGTCGGGCTGAACGTCAGGGGCTCAGGTCACTACTACCTTCATGTAGAGCTGAGTAATCCCATAACCTAAAGCTTATGACACTGGTGAAGGGACAGACTCAAGTATGAAGCCAGATGTCCCAAACCTTTTACCCCATTTCAGTCACTCATCAGGCTCTTGGGCCCAAGTGAGGAGTCCTGAATGGCCTGCTGGTTACTAACAGTAACCTTGGCAACCATCACCATCGTAACCCACACATAAGTTAGCTATAGCAAAACTGGTGGGAAATGAATGATGCACTACCAAGCTGTGGCCTCCAGAATTAGTGATCTCTGAGTGTACTCAGAGCAAGTGAGGCTAGAGGTTTGGTGTAGGCTTTTCCTTGACAACAGTTCATTTTGTGTAAACGGTCTACTTTGATCTTACCAACGTCAGATGACCGGCCTGTTAAAAAAAAGGGCCCAAGGGTAGAGAAGAAACATGCTGTCCTGCAAAGGACAATGGTTTCTCTCGCAAAAGCTTACTTCAGTGTCCCAGCCTTTTGTGTCACCATGGTGGCCCCAAGCTGTCCCCTGCCTTGTCCCTCTGCCAGGGATAAAGCTGGGATCAGAACCTGTGTGGTGAAGTGACATGTGCTTGGGCACTCTGCTTTTTTGTTTCTTTTTTGAGATGGGGTCTTGCTGTGTGGTTCTGCCTTGCCTTCGACTCACTAGCCCAGGTAGGCCTCAAAATCACTGTGTCTCCTGCCTTCCAAGTGCTGGGATTACAGGCATGTGCCACCCGAGCGGCAGCTTGGGAGCTCTCAGGTGTGTTATGGGATGAACATGTGCCCTGCCCTTGCTGATTGTAGAGCAGCATGTGTAGATTGTTGGGTGAAACGCAGATCTTCAGTGGAAACTTAAGGCAGCTCTGTCCTTGGTATCGTAGCTTGAGCAAACAGACTTGAACAGGCACACGTGACCTCCCCCGCTAGCTCCTCAAGCAGCACCGCGCTGTCTCCCAAGGTCCTCGGAGCCCTGGTCCCCTGGGTGCTCCTTCCTGCCATGTGAGCTTTGTGTTTTCTTCTGAGTCACAGCTTCTCCTGGCTTGTTAGATGGCAAACTCTAGGGACCTGGGTGTCATTTGGTTCAGGAGTACTTGGCACGACCTATGCTGTGAGCCCCTTGTAGCAGCCCCTCATCCCTGTAACACAGCACCTTCTGGATCTTGCTTCCTGACTGCCCACAGCTCTGCCCATGCAGCTCCAGTCAGCTCCTGAAAATCTCTTCTGTGTTCCCTCCCATTTTTCTCCCTCCATGTGGTGTTAAATCCCATCCACTCACAGTGTTCCTGGAGCCTCTTGGGATAGGTGGGCTGATGCACTGGAGGCTTACCTGGCGTCAGCAGCCCTGTGACCACTCTTGATTTCAGGTCTCCCAGGTGGAGTGCCTGGTTCTTGCCTGCCTTTCTGGCCATTCCTCTTGCTGCTTTTCCTCACCTTCCTGACCTCTAACTGCTAGAGTGCCCCAGAGCACAGTCTCACTCACTTGTCTTCCTTCGTTCCACGTCCGGGGGCTGAGAGGATCCCTAAACCCAAGGCCTAGCACCCCCAGGGCCACTGCGCCGCTCAGTAGCCAATATTCATCTGCAGGGACTGTCACACTTCATTCTCACCCTTTCTTTCCCCCACCCCAAGCCTGCAAATGTGCTCTGGGCACTGAGAGCTGCTGGCCACCTATGAGAGTCCTTGGAGCCGGGACAGACAAGACTCTTGTCACTACTCCCTGTCACATATGTTCCACATAGGTGTTGGTGCTCTTCTGCTTGAGATAAAATGTTGTGTGCTCATCCCAAATACTGGTATGGAGAACTCAGAGGAAAGGAAAAGACAGTGTGTCGGGGAAATAAGATCAGAGCAGGCCTGGGCCCTGCGGTGTGGGCCTCGTCATCCCCGGAATGCTGGGCAGCAGGCTAAAGCAGCCGTGACAGATGGGTGTCTTATAAACCAGAGAAATGTGTTTCTCATGCTTCCAGAGGCTGGGAGTCCAAGCTGAAGTTTTCAAGAGTTGTCGCTTCTTCCAAGTTTGGGACAAATGGCTTTCCTTGGTTCCACACATGCAGACAGAGCTCTGGAGTTTTGGTAGGAGTCTAATCCCCTCCTGAAAGTTATGCCATCATGATTGTCACCTCCTCCCAGATGCCCCACCTCCCAGGGCTCAGCATGTCTACTGGCCCTGCTGCCTTTTTAGGACTACTAAGCCACCGACCTGCTTTGGAATATGGTTGTGCGAGTGCTGGTGTAGCCTCCTGCCCACCTATCCCAAACCTTAAAGCTTCGTTCAGCCCCTCCTGACCACCAGAAAACTGCCTGCAAACCCTGCAATAGAAAAGGGCTTGAGTTGAAATGTGCGAGGGAAGTGAGCTATTGGTGGCCTTTGGTAGGGAAAGTGAGTCCCTCAGCTCTCTGGTGTCCCAACCACACCAGATGACTTGAATCAACCATTTATTCTGACTCTGCTGGGCTCTGCCCTGCTGAGCTTGGCTGCTCTCCCTGCCACATTCATAGATGGCCAGTGGCACAGCAGGAGGCTCAGGGCCCTGTGGCTTCCCTCCTGTGGCAGCTGGCTGTCCCCTGGGGAGCAGGTAACATCCTCATCAGCCAGCCTACGCTGGCTGCACAGGAGTTATTTCCAAGAACTGTCAGGCCTTTTCAGGTCCACCTGCTTTCTAGTTTGTCACAATTCGCTGACCAAAATGATTCCCTACGCCACTCCAAACATATAAATTATGGGGCGAATCCCATACTCTTCTCCAGGAGCTGCAAGGTGACAAGGCAAGGGAGGAAACCTGTGGAGCAGAGGAGACAGTGGGACACCGGTGGGACCGTGCAAATCCTCATCAGTGCTGGTAGGTGAACCCCTAAGTCCTGTGCAGCCTCCCCACCGATGCTGCAGGATCCTCCCCTACAAGCAGTGTGGAGGACTGTGTAGATGCTTGCGTCTCAACCTCAGAATGGCCCAGTCAGTCAGCGTCCCAGCAGGACACGTGACAGACTCAAACTGGTTTCAAGCATTTAACAAATGCACACATATTGGCAAGCTTTGGGCATGGTGTCATCAGCAGTGGTGGAAATCCATCAACCGGCCCCCAACTCCCCAGAAAATAGTTCAGAACACAGGGAAAGGACAGATAGAGAAAGGGCGGCCACCCGAAAGAAGGCCTGCAGTAGATAGGCCTCTCAGAGATCCCAAAGGAGGAGCCAGTGTCATCAGACCTCACTGTCCCTCCTCCACCAGTGTTCTGCAGTGCCTCCCCTTGGCTGAGCCCAGCTGGAAACCAGAGCCTTGGGGATGAGCCCATCTTTGCAAAACACTGTCTGTGGGTTGCACGGTTCCCCACCGCCTTCCCCTATGCATATGTTGAAGTTCTAGCCCCCAGTACCTATGAACAGGGCCTTATTTGGTGAGGTCGCCTGAAAGAGAACAGGCCCTCTTCCAGCGTGGTAAGTGTGCTAGCCAGCGAGCTCTGCCCTAACAAAGGACAACATTGGCCAGGTGGCCTCAGCCCCCACGTCTGCTCTCACAGTCTGAAGGCCACAATGACCATGACAGTGGCTCACTGTCGCTTGATACCCTAAAGACCCTGTCACCAAGTCTGGACACCTTTGGAGGGACTAGGAGTTAAGGCTCCACCACATGAATTTGGGGGAGAGGGCAGACACAGTTCAGTCCAAACAGTGGTGTCCTCAAAGCAGAGAAGAGGCACTCATTGAGAGGGAACAGCCATGTCAAGAAGGAGGCAAAGACTGGCGTGATGAGCCACCAGGAGCTACAGAAGGCAGGAAGGTGTGTGTCCCCAAAGCTTCAGACAGGTGGGAGCTGACTCAGGAGACAGCTTGGTGGTCTAAGAACCTGCGTGGCAAGTGCAAGGACCTGGTTTTGATCCCTGGTAGCTGTGCCAGTCCTGGTGCACTGAGGTGCACTGAGTGGGC